ATATATAAAGAGAGAGAGAGAGAGAGAGAGAGAGAAGGTGGGGGGGGGCGCATTTCACATGAGTGATGAAAGGACGATGACGTCTTTGGTGGAGAAGAAGCAATAGCCAAAGAGAATAAAAAAGGGTAAATAAGAGGAATTAAGATATTAGTTGTCCTTTTATTTATACAGACCCTATTAAGTGATAAGAGGCTCTGAAAATAATAAAAAACAAACAGTCTAAATTACAAAATGTCTGAACGAATTAGATATAAGTGATAATTAAGAGCTGAAAAATCATTGTGCATACTCCAACGGATTTCCTAAAAAATCATTGATTTATTTACGGTAACGGTTTTAATAAGATACTTCCAACATTATTTGATAGTGAAAAAGACCAAAATATCCTTAACAAGAATTAAAAGGTAATAGATAACTATCCAAATTAATCACTTGCTTAGCTTGTGACAGATAAATATAACCAACCAAAAAACACTTGGAGATGGTGTCTCTTCTCTAAGAAATTATTCCAAAATCAGATGCTAAGCTGTACATTTGAATGAATTTGGGACAAACCAATTGTATCCTCTATTATTTTCCTCAAATAACCACAATTTGCTTAAAACTGGCATCACTTCTTTCATCTAAGTTACTGTGAATTAAGTACATAGCTTAAAATGGTTTGTAAGATTAGAGAAAGTCAGGCTGGCCTGTAGACGTCAAGCAACGATGCCACATACGGCTGTTCTGGTCCACGATTTTAGGGTAAGAGATCACCTCAGTGATCGGTATGTAGACATAGTGAGTGTTGCATATGCCGACCGTGATCCCACTGTATCCCGCAAATGCACCATGGACCTGTCAAAACCAACATCAAACTAAATCACTGTTTCTCAAGAATCATCATAAAACTGATTGCAATTGCTAAAGTCAATCATAAGTGGTAACAATATATATGTATGTATGATAAACTTACAGCATTTTGACCCAGTACCGTGCACAGAATTCCATCTGATGCATTTGCTCGGCATGCACGAATCATATATGTAGGATCAATGTATTTTACATCAGCTGGATCGCCCATATCCTTGAAATATTTTTTCACCTGATAGAGTATTTTGTGTCAGATCCGACTGACAGAAAATATATTCCTAAGGTAATTACAGTTTAATCAAAATCAAAAAGTCATCGTGGACTTCTGGTTCGACAATAGAGCTATGTACTTGATCCAAAAAAAACATTTGGATTGGTGTGGCTGAGAACTCGTGTGGACTAATCAGAAATCACAAAGTTCATATGCTGCTTTCACTAACCTCCTGTTGTATATGTACCCCGATATCTCCTAGTACAACATTCCCAGATGCATCTTTAGCATTCGTTTTCTCTAAAAAGTTCTGCATCCAAGAACAGAAAATAATACTATAAGCTCTCGGTGGATATACTTGAAAACAGGCAGGAAAAAAACCCTTTTAAATAACAAAGGGAAAGAACACAGTTTGACTAACCTGCCCAGCTCCTTCGGCTACACAGATGACGGCTGATCCCTTTGTTTCGAGTAGATACTTGAGATGACTTAAGACACCATGAGGTCCATGCAACTCAAAGGGTACCTTCAATTAAAACACGAGTAGGTATCAGTTACAAGAATAGGATCAGTTTCACCACTTCTTGTAGCAAGTATATGTGAAAATATGCGAAACTCCATTAGATTATTATTGTGAAAAAGAACCCTTGAGAAGGGAGGTTCCAACGAGGAGAAATGGTTCAATTCTAGCTAATAGCAGTATACAGATAAATACCTCCGGTATCAAACATAAATCAATCTGACCACTAGCAAGGGCCGCATGCATGGCTATAAAACCACTACTCCGCCCCATCAACTTTACAATTCCAATACCACGATAAGCACTATGTGCCTGCAAAAAGAATGAGTTGTTACTGTTGTACACACAAGGAGGGTTGTATATGGAAGATGAGGGAAAATGATAATTGACAATATGTTGACATTAGGAGTAAAAATTGAATTTGAGAGAGAAAACGTTTGTACCTCGATATATGCAGCATTTATCGCTCTTTGTGCTTCCTCGACAGCAGTATCAAAACCAAATGTCTTATCCATGAGCAGAATATCATTGTCTATAGTTTTGGGAACACCAACTACAGCTACCTTTAACCCTCTTTTTATGCACTAACACAAATACAATTAAGCGGTTAAGAATTCAGGAACGAGCAAGTTGTTCTACTACATGATAAATCCTTCCCAGTTGAGCAAGTTTTATCACAGGGAAAATAAGCTTATATGGTATACAGAATCAGTTTTAATGACATAATTTTTTAACTCATCTCTATGCTTGGAAATTTATTTCTCTTCCTTTTATGTTCTTTTTTGGGGTTGGAGGGATCATGAATAAGATGCATCATAGCTCTATTTTTGGATATAAATAGAATCCCAAAAGTTAAATTTATCATGTTGGACAAATACCATCTATCAAACAATATATATGAACAAGAAGGAACATGATGTTTAGATGGTTACAGAAATCTACACAAGTCCTACAGTACGACAAAAGAAATATATGCCAACCTCTTTGTGTATTGCATTAGCGCCTGCATGTGTTCCATTTCCGCCAAGCACAAAAAGCATGTTGATGTTTCTATCCTGTTACCAGTTTACAACCACCCCTATATCAACATGACCTCCACCACATCCTTGTTCAAATCATAAATATAACCAAAAAGAAAACTATGGACCAATCAGAAAAGAAATACAAATAAGTACCCCCATGCTGTCCACGATTTCATGGACACTTGGTCCTCCACGAGAAACTCCTAACAAGCTTCCACCAGTAAGATGAGCATTTTGAACAATTTCCCGAGACAACTAATAATGGAAGACAAATCACGATTACCTAAAGTAAACGAGGCATAATGCAAGGAGTAAATGAGTACTAATAATTAAAAGTTCTCACAACTTGTTATGATTCCCTTTGGTTGGCGATATAAATTTGATGGAAAATACAGGCTCAATATTTGTCTTCTTTGATTATGGCACTCATAACATATGTTTGCGATAAGAGGAGGTACAGTGTCTTGAATACGTATCCCTGGGAGTTAACTGGTCAATTTTGGTTTCTCCTATATGGCAAAAAGAGAGACACAGAATGGGTGGGTCTGAATTCTGGCCCATGCCAACCCTCGAGGATGGGGCCGTGTACGGTATACCTTCTTTGGGCATTTTTTTCTCTGCTTGCTTACTGAAGGGAAAAGGTGAAAGACATTCAATGTTTCCCATTTTCCATGTAACATATCATTTGATATTAGATACTATTATAGCTGTTCTTAGTGACCTTGTTAGATACCAAAAGATCTGATGCATAGAAAATAGACACAATGATCTGTCACTTTCACTGGATAGCTTATGTTCGATTAGGCCCTAAAGAAATAGGCAGAGTGCAATAATCCAGGGCTTATGGACAGAAATGGTATACCGCACAACCTTCTTTGATGCATGGACCATTTTAGAAGGTGAACATTTGTTTTTGAATATTTGGCTGGACCATTCATTCATTCAGTTCATCGCTGCATTGCTTCAATGAACCAGTACGTCAAGTTAATTGATGAAGAGTTGTCTCGTAACACTAATCACCAAAAAATATTCTTAGAAGTGTTTGAATTTGACAGAACCCTTTTCCCATAAATGATGATATTGCCAAAAGTGAAAATGTAAGAAACTCACAGGCATTTCAGCTATTTCTTTGCCAAATCCACGGTATCCAAAAGGAATCCCAACAATCTTTTTCACGCCATAAATCTCAAGTGTGATGACAATCTGTGGTCACTCCAAGGTAAAGGGAAACATCAATAGTTGAAACATAATGAAGTGCTTTAAAAGTAGTAATAACAGAAAGGTCTTCATACAACCTATTGGCTGTTGGAAAACTAGAATGGCTTTTCTTTATAAATAGTACCTTTATCATATTGACATATTTTACAAATTGGTTGGGACCTTTAAACCATGAGCCCAGATACTTCCGTTTTATCTTTTTCCTCATGAAATAACAATCATAATTAGTTGCCGTAGGTATATAAATGTATGCCTAAAACAATTTTTGCAAGGGAGATGATCCAGGAAGATGGGCACATGAGACACTTTTGATGCTAACAATTGCAATCTTTGGTTACTTTTGCAACAGCCAAAATTTCTAGATACCACAATTAGTTAATGTTGGAGCTCCTAGGAAGTTGCATATCTCTAATTCACTTCATTGATGGAACACCCAATATTGATAGTTGCATGCATCCAGAACCTACCTGTCGTATGACATCATTAAGCCCAGGACAAAGTCCCCCACAAGTTACAATTGCAGCTTTCACATCTTCTGGTTTAAAGTATATTTTCTCACGAGGACCTGCACGATGAATCCTAGAAAGAGTTTGTTAGAGTTATATATATGCCATCTCAGGCTCTCAGCAGCTTTGATATATTTCTTACGTTTTAATATTCTTTTGTCTATCAATAGATGCTATTGATCTTTTAACTAATCACAATAATATCAACACTTCTCTCTCTCTCTCATTTGGTTTCCTACACGCTTTCAGAGCTCAAGTTCATCATTTGTAGAATTAAATTGGTTACGATTTTCATATAGTACAAATGTTATGCAAAACAGGAAACATACAAAGAAGCAAAAAAGTTACTATACTTTCAATATTAAAAGCATCAAGTATAACTTTAGCATATACAGCATCTCTTAGCTTGTGCATGCAAATTTTTATTACATATGGTAATATAAAATCTGATCAGGATGACAAAAAGAAGTGATGACAAATCTAGGGTGATGTAAAAGTTAAAGGTGACAACCACAAGGGTGGTGCCTGATTGGTTTGAGCTTGGCTCCAAAGGTCAAAAATACCTGGAGGTCCCAGGTTCAAATCCAATGAGGAATAAAAATCCCCTTGTGGCCACGGATGTTCAAATACGGTGACTCCGGACTATCTGCAAAGCAGGTGGTCGCCCTGGGATTAGTCGGCTCGCATAGCGGGTTGGATATCCAGGTTAATCAGAAAAGAGAAGTTAAAGGTGACACTAATTAGGAGCTTTACATGCCTCCAAGTGGCAGATGATTGTGTCTTTTCATCCTTCAAGATAAGGAGAGAACAAATCACATATATTTTTTCACCACCATTTACACTTCCAGCCAAATATATATTCTTGCACAAAAAATTTTATGCTAATGACGCATAGTATTTAAGCAAAGGCGGTCTCAAATAAAGAAGAATCCCAATTTAATTTCAGCAGTAAAAATCACAAATGATGAAATAAGCAGAACTCTGTTGTGGGCATATGCAAAAGTATACTTTTAGAAATATAACTTTGAGAACTCTAGGTTCCCAGTATTTTATACATCCAATGCAAATCATTTCAAATTTGGCTAAAAAGAAGTGAGAAACAAAAACAAAATAAAAGAAGGAAAAAATTCCTTTCCTATTCTGCTTCAGTAAATCGTTCTTAATAATTATACTTGCACAGGACTAGGACAATTTATTGCTGAAAACAAACCTAACCTACATCTAACATTTCCCACATTTGATCGCATTTAACTGATGTTAAAACAACAGCTAGTACATTATAAAATGTTCTCGGTGGTTTGACAGACAGTTATCACTTTTTCTAGTTTCTACATCTGGGATCATATGATAGTAATTCGTTGGTATTTGGTCCAAGGACAACATTAGATAGCGATTTTGACCAAGTAGAGTTCACATGAACTGAATAAAAACTTTAATATATTCAAGAAATATCACCCATTTTGATATTGTAAAGTTTTGAGAGTTTGAAGACATATACTGAGGTCATGTGCATAATGTAGAGGATTGGCTTATGGATTGAGAATAACTTGCCACTCATGCTGATTACAGTTTGCGTCTTCCTTAGTGGTTGATCTGATTTGAGAGCCCACCAGGAGTTTACAAGACGAGAACAAATAACAACAGGAGAACTGAACAAATTCTATAAGTAGCAGAAAGGGTTCTGATGAGTGATGACCCTACTGAAGAAAACCAGCAGCAGCAAGTTTGTCAGCGAAGTGGCAGCAGAACAGAGGTAGGAACTAGCTGAGCAGGGGAACAGACTGGTGGTAGAATATAAAAAGAGAGCGAGCAGACTGGCAACATGTGGTGGAAGTAGACCATATGTGTTTAGTGTTTACTAACTTAGCGCAAAATATGAAGATTTGTTCCTTACATAGATGCAACAGTTAAATGGTTTTTTAGCAGAATATACAGGTTAAACGATTGTACCAAACCTTCTTTCATCTGCAAAGCAAGGTTGAAAAATCACCAGAAAAATACTAAGCTCGTATTGAAATTTCTTGTCATGTGAGTTCATTGATCTACATGCAGATGCTTCCATTTCACATCTAGCATTAGAAAGGTTCTTTTTTCAATTCTTACCATTGCTCCACCCACGTACAATCAGGATCAATACATTCAGCGCCAGCAGATGAAGGGGAGAAATAACGGATAACCTGTAATATGTCATAGAAATTTGTCATTTCATGGCATTTTATTTTCCAATAAAATGGCTTATAGCTTATATTGAACTGAATAAAATATCTGGCCTATCATTCCACTTAAACACCAAAATGACATAGAACAAATTATTTTCTAGGAATTGATATAATGCCCTAAGAATCAATCTCTATGTAATGTCAAATCATTTCTTGAACCAATTGTGGATATGTTCTATGCATGAAGCAGTTTATTGTGCAACACATTCCATGATCGGACCTATATATCACCCCAAGTCATACTGTTGACAGGAATCTCTGCTGTCAGCCTTGGTCCAACCATACTAGCTGAAGACTAATTGGGTGATGAAGAAACTACCAGTTACAGCTTGGTATACTAGTTGTAAACTGAGAAGGAACAACATTTTCCTTCATTCCATAATAATCAATTTAGTGAAGTACTCATTTATTACAATGCAAAATGCAAGGGAGAGGTTGTGCAAGAAGAACTCCCTCCTCAATGCTTGCAAAGCTGAGGAGTCTTGTTACATCGGGATCACCCTTATTCATTTGTGATTCATCAGAGACCTTAACAGACAGACTGCAAGAAAACCGGAAACAGTCAAAAGTTCTGAGGTCTATGACTTTATGTCACTACAGATTTTGATAAACTTATTCCAGAAAAAAGAAGATTGAAAGACGAGTCTTCGTCAATGCTAAAGTTTCCATGTACATGAATGGTACTTCAGATTTAACAGAGCCAAAAGGGTATCCACCAGTAAGATCAAGCTCAGTAATGCACCATAATGATAAATATCATAGTCAGTCTGAAACTATGAATAAATGGTAGAATACCACTATAAGAACAGTCTGACGTTTCTGATCTTTTCAACTTACTTTATCTTTTATTTGGTAACATCACTCACGTAAAACTTAGAATACATTAGAACATCTTCTTCCCACAATGAGTAAATGTGTGTAACATAAGATAAGTTGTCTAAAAACATAAGTCAAAATTATATCTAAACACAAACTTCAAAAATTTGAAGAAGCTTCACACAGATCGTATAGGGTATCACAGATTCACAGTACCGAACAAACTAATGAGAAGACAAAACCATTCTATCCAGTGTGCCTACGGGAGTAGGCAGGCACTCATTCGCACCGATACTATCCCGTGTGCCTATGCAGTCCGTAATCTTACTCACAAAACCATCAGTGAAGAGAAAGTAACTGAATATACCTTAAGTAGTACTCTATCATCATTATTAATGTATCCATACCACTCCTCGTCAGAAGGATACCCTTCTGCAAATTCTTCATTGACAGGAGTCCTGTAGCACAAATAAAAAATCAAGCTCACCAAAAACCATGTAAATTCTAATATTTGAACCATTGTCCGCAAAGATATGCGTTTAGACATGACTACCTTAGTTTAACGAGGCACCGCAACCTGATCTTATACTCCATATAAATTTCATACATGGTTGTGTACAGAAAGTAAATCCTTGAAATACTAAAAATACTACTCCACAATTAGATTCCTTGCGGATATTTTCAATAAATGCCTTTAAAAAGAGAGACTTTCATCAAGAGTTTATGTTGATGGGATATTTTTTATCCATAATTCAACCGGCCTAAGTAGCTGAAACAGTAACCAGAGAAATTTCCACATTTTTTATATCATGGAGCCGAATATAACAGTAAAATTGGTACTTAATCACGTCAAAAAATTCAATTAAACCAATAATAGAGTTTCAAGAAGGGAAAAAAAGTAATTATGCTTTCGGTACCTCATACTGAGACAGAAAGTAGAGGGATACGAAACAGCGTCAGGGAAGAAATCACTAATGTGAGGAATGTTGAATCGCTTCTCGAAGTCTTTTTTGAACTTAGACTTCCACTCGGGATCGCAGTAATCGATAGCCTCATTTGACTTCTTCTCGGCGTACACTACACAACGACCCCTTTCGCAAACTGCAGTCATGTCAGGTCTTGTACGCCGACTAGAGAGAACCGACCGGAACACGCCAGGGAACGAAACCAGATGATAACCGTTGGCCTGAAGAGTCAGGCTGGGGTGGATCGCCGGAGAAAGTGATCCCATTATTCAGTAATCGGAGAAAATGGGAGTTCGTTTTGGTGATCACAAGGAAAATGAGTTTTGGGCGAAGAGTTAGAGAGAGAAGAAGACAAAGAAGTAGAGCGAAGCGTATCGCTGAAACTGAAAAGGAGTCCCTTCTGTTTTTTTTGTTAGTACGGCAGCAGCTGATGTCATGACATGGAAAATTAGATTTCTATTTTGATTTTTAAACAATTAAAAAGTACTTGTGATTAAAGCGTTTACAATGTATCTGTACTATATTATATAATATACTATTTAACAAAAACTCTTAAAAATTATTTTTATATATAAAGTATTGTTTATTGATTTATATTACTTAAAATTCAAGATTATAAATAAATTGTGCGTAAGTATAACTTATTAAAGCTTCATATTTGAATTTGTGTAACTAACTACAGATAAATATAATCAAATAGAGAATAAATATCTCATTTTAAATATAAAAAATATAACATATAATTAAGATAATTATTGAGTTACAACAAAATACTTAATCATTATCATTATAAAAAATATATTTTAAACCAAAAATAATATAAAGAAATACATAAAAAAGAAGAAATTTTAAAAATTTAGTTTCGTACTAATATTAATATATTTTTTTTATTTTTATGATATTTTCGTATTTATATTTTTTCCAAAACTTAAAAACATTATCGTCTACTCAAAACCACATAAAACTGTATTATAACATCGACTGAGACAAAAAAAATGAAAACATTAAAATCGAGATGTGTCTCGCTGCATTGTGTGAGTACCCTTTTAGTTTTTTAAAATGAAGAATGTATCAAAATCTTAAAAAATATTTTTTTATTCTTGTAAATTTTTTATTTTAAAGATTAAAATATTGATAAAACATTATTTCTTTTTCTAAAAATTGAATTTCTAAGTTTTGTTTTATCGTCATAATATATTTAAAAAAAAATATATTTCTCTTTCATTGTAATCACTTTTTAGAAGTTTTTCAAATTTGGAGAATCTTTTAAAACAAAAAGTATATCTAAAATCTTCAAAATCCCGATTTTTTTATATTTTAGAGAATCTGTTGTAAATGCTTCTATGCAGTGTTCTCGATATCTTTTTTTATGAAGAAAAGAAAAAAAGGGGATGAAGAAGAAAATAAAAAAACTCGTGTTCTCGAACTTTTTTTTAGGAGAGAAGGATAGAAAACAGAAGGAAAATTATCACAAGTGAAGCGAAATCTTATGCCCTCCCTCACTCGATTTTGAAACCAAATTTATAAAGAATATCAAATATGGGTGAGACAGTATAAACGTTTAGATTAAATACTTTTTTTTTATTAACTTAGATATCTAACCCGTTACGCGAGCCGATAATCCCATTTATACCTTCATAGTCGCAAGGGGATTTCTATTCCTTATTGGATTTGAACTTGAGATCTTTAGGCAATTTTTATTTTTGAAGTCAAGAACAAACCAATCAAACATCACCCTTGTAGTTTAAATCAAACATCATTGGACTCTTCTAAAACATCTACAAGAGCTATGCTAATTTTTTATAGAACAAATTATCAGAATTCAAATATTTAAAAGAATACATCTAAATTATTTAATAACTCTATTATTAAAATATTTCATACATTTAATAAAATATTATTTCTCTCATTAATTTCCAGTACCTTTTATGTGTCAGAAAAAAGAATTAAAACACTAATTTCCCATCCTATATAGAGTTTTAGAGATTACTCTGGATTTAGATCTTTTTTATTCTTTATTCATTTTTCTATTTTGCCTGACACTAATAGTATACAGATATTGGAGTATGAAACTCTCATAAATCAACATAATTTCTATTATAACATAACTCATAAATTTGGTCTTAATCCTCTTACTTTTGTTTTTCTAATATACCAGTGTTTGACATCGAGCGTTGCGCGATGATCAAATTTTATGTTGACAAAAAATGCAAGAAAAAATTATTGACTATTTTTATAAATATGGAATATGTTGCAAGTCCATATACAACAATTTATTTTAGATAAGATTGGTTTTGAGCATATTTAATCAATAGAGTTATGAAAATTATTAATAATAACCATAGTTTAAATATTTATATATAACATTAATAACGTTGTTTAAAATAAATCAATACATAAAACTGATAATCAACAATCACCAACGTAGTAAAAGATTCAGGATAATCAAGGCTCATCACTTTCACTAATTATTGAATAAAATTATATCATCAAATATTTATATTATTATTAAAATAGGTACTTTAAATAATCTTCATATTAAAAATCAAATAATATGATCTTTTTTAAATTTATAATCATCTTTTAAAAAACGACAATACATGATTAAATGTAATAAGGTATTTCAATTTTTATATTAACCTGGATATCCAATCCGTTATGCGAGTCGACTAATCTCATGACGATCACCTGCTTTGCAGATATCCCGGAGTCACTGCATTTGAATCTTCGTGGCCACAAAGGGATTTCTATTTATCACATGATATGCAAGTCGACTAATTCCATGAGATAGAAGTCTTTGATCTTTTTTTTTTATTATTATCAAGAATCTATCTCCTTTTTTTTGTTTACTTACTCATTTCTTTGTTTCCAATATTTTATTCTCCTTCATCAATAGTTAATTGATTTTTACCTTTTTAGCAGTTTAGATCAAAATTTGCATTGATGCATGTGCCGCATGAACAAGATTACATAAATTGTCAATCACCTTTAGTTTTTTCACTTTTCATGTGTAAAGGTGATTCATCAGCTTCATTTTCTAAATCAGTTGTTTTTGGTACAATTTTTACAGGTATTAATCTAAAGATTGAAGCAAAACAATGTTGGAACTGCTAAGTTGTATGAAGCAAAAAAGTAAATTCACAAAATGAAATCAATCTAATTTTGAACATGATTCAAAATCATTGAAGGTCAAAAAAACAAACTCCGAAGAATATTAACCGATTTACATTCTCGTAGAACTTTGATTTTTCAAATGAAACACTAAAAACATATATTTTGGTAATCAAGAAACGAATATAAAAATTAAGATCTATTGTCCATTCGTGAGTAACAATATAATATCAAAATAAACAATACTCAAATGTTCTTTTAGTATTATGGGTTACACTTTTTATAAAAAAAAACATAAAAATGAGAATTAAGATAAGAATAAAAATTACAAAATAAACAAAATCAAGAATACATTGAAATATAAGGGGTACTCAAATGAAAAACTTACATGTAATAATTAATAATACTGGTTTTCATAAATAACAACAATACAGAGAATGAGATAAAAATACAAATTGCGAAACTATATAAATTAAAAGATAGAGAAGGAAATTTATAATAGAAAAACTCCACATTGGTCATACTTGATCAGATTCTGATTGTTGTCACTTGTCAATAAACAAAAAATAAAACTTGAGTAGCTACAACAATATTAGTAAAACAAAATTAGGCAAAAAAAAGACACATAAAGAACACACATACATAATATAAATAACTTCCGAAAAAAATGAGGGATAAAGAACCATAGTGAATAAAATATAATAACGAGGAATTTTTTTTTTGAAAAAAAACATTCATCAACATCATATAACTCACACAAATTATCTTAAAATAAAATGTAATAATTGTTAGCCTAGAAAAGTTTATGGAGGAACAGCATTTGAGCATGTACAATAACATTCGAGCATGTACAATAAAATAAAAGGGCCTTTGGCCTAGCGGTATCGTAGCCCTTGGCTTTCTAAGGTGGTCAGGGGTTCAAACCTCACCATAGGTGAGGAGGACGTATGAGTTTATTTGTTGCATTTGCCGTATATAAATATTATATACTTCAAAAAAAAAAACAAAGTTCTACAAAAAAAAATATAATGCACAAAAAACAAACGTAACAATAATTAACAAAAATATAATAACATGGAATAAAAAACAACAATCAACAAATATAACACACATAAATCATACAAAATATAACATTTCTTACATAGATTTTATGGAGGAAGAACAACGATATCAACGATAAAAAATTCTGCAAAAAGAAACCCGACACACATCAATAACAACAAATAATTCACATCAAAACATAAAATACACCATGAAAAATGTAGTTTCCATTCGATTAGATATTCGACTGTGTAATTTGCAATATGATGGAGGATTCGGTAAAACAAAAGAATAAAAACGTTAAATGAGATATAATAGATAGATGGAATAAAAAGACGTAATAGAAAACCGAAAAGTCTAAGAAATTTATGACTTAATAAAAGACAATCAATATACCCAACAAAAATATTTTAAAAATATAAAAATTTGGAAGAAAATAATTAAGAAATAATTCTTTCACAAAGTGGAAATATGAAAATAATAATAATAATAAATGTCTCTAGGAGTTATGTAGATTGAAAGTTAAGGTAATTAAATTGAAAGTAAAATTACCAAATTGGTCTTCTTATAATAAAATACATATTTTTAGGGGTATAATAGTCTTTAATTTATTTAATATTTTAAGGATATCAAAATAAATAAAATAAGAATTTGTTTTATGATTTGATTTGTTTAAACTAAAAAATTAATTATATTGAATTAAATTTAATTTTATTGTTGTATTGCAATGGTGAAAAAATATATGGTTTATTGTTTTCATATAATTAATTTTTTAATATAAACATATTAAATCATTAAATCATATTTATTTTATTTAGAATGAATAAAATAAGATATAGTTTTATAATTTAATTTATTTAAATTAAAAAAAATTAATTATCTTAAAGATGATTTTTTTTACCATTGCAATACACAAAGTTTATTATTGATATTTTAACACCAACTGAAAACCATCAACAAATGAACTCCAATTTAATTATCCTAAAATTAGGATTTTCAGTTATCCTGTTGTTTTTCATCCAAAAACTTAAAATCAACTATTTAGATTTTAACTAATGAAAGATTTATACATACAATTATCTTGGTAACTTACAATTGAACAAGCCCCCATATA